TTCATAATGACACATTTATTTATTTCAGATGACTTGTATTTCATAATGACACATTCATTTATTTCAGGGGACTTGTATTTCATAATGACACATTTATTTATTTCAGGTGACTTGTATTTCATAATGCCACATTTCCATTCCTTATATGCAAATGAACGGGGCGTGGTTAGCTCACAGATCCAGACCAAAGCAACAGCACCACACTCCAGTACTCTTAAGTGGTTTGCAAGCTGCCAATAAACCAAACCGGTTCAAGAACCATTCTTGTGCTTTTCTGGTGCTTAACTGGTTCTTCTCTGGTTCTGAGTCCAGAGCCAGTTGCAGGCTACAGCCTGATTTAGCTCTGGTTCTTCCTGTTTCAGCCGCAGCGGAGCCGGCTCTAAACACCGAAAACCGGTTCTTAGCGGACCCCACTTGGCTGCCCGGCAAGAACCAAGAACCACGCTCACGTCGGAAGGGGGCTAGATTAACCTGAGCCATAATAACAGTTTATGGCGAGAACGGAAAATGAAAGTTGTAACAAGCAGTAGCGCTGAGCAAAGTGAGAAGATCGTTCTTATTATACATCCACAGTAAAGATCAGTTGAGAGCTGAGAGCCGTTTCTGTGACTCCGCCCAATGCTGCTCTTCTGAGAGCAACCGCTCTGACAGCTCTCTCTAGTCTCTACTGGGAAACAGCTAAAAGTCCTTCTGGAGGTAAGCAACGCTACACAATTACACCCAGTCTGAGAGTAAAAGATTTCTCGAAGGTTCGTTTTGCTTTCTTACAACGTTAAGTTAATGTTAACGTAACCTTAAGTTTGCTAGGAGGCTATTGTTACGAGCTAGCTGTCTTAGCTAACAACAGTTAGCAGCTAACGTTTTCTGCAGTTTGTGTTGCCCCTGAAAAACGTGATGTAGTTATTTAAGGGTATGTTAAATTAACGTTATTTTACAAGTTGAGAGTTAAGTTGTGTTTGAAATTGTCAATGTAATGCTCGTTAGAGGTTTTGTGTTGGACATGAAGTTAGCTAACGTTAGCTAACTCTACCAGGTTAGCATGTTAAGCTGTACTTTCTGTGGCAGCTAGCTTAATACAAAGAGGGGTTTTGTGCTTCATTGCAAACTTTTCTTACAAATGTGTGTTAATCTACCTGAAATTGTAGGGACAGTTTGTTTCTACTCAACTATACAGACCATTGTTGAGGAGATGCAAAACATACTGTACATGAGTTGGGTCCAACATATACCTTGAGTAATGTTACTTTGCTGCTAAAAATGAAACATCATTATCAGATGAGGACATCACCAAAGTGTGTGAGTCTGTCAGGGGATTTGATCTGCTCTCTGCATGTCGTACACACTGCTCTGGTATTACTTATCTTGTAAAATGTAAGTCTCGCTCTTGTCATCGTTCAGGCTTTGCATTTGAACTCCTATGACTGTTTGCGGACTTGAAGGGAACGACTTCCTGGCCTTCCTGACATCCAGGAAAAAGGTGAGATTCTAATACATTTGAATGCCAAAAACAAGTTATTGTTTTTAACTAAAATATGATTGTTTTGGGGCATTTCTGTTTTATTGGACAGAGGCAGTAGAGATCTACTGGAAACAGTGGAGAGGGAGGAGATGATATGCAGCAAAAGGCCCAGCCGGATGGTTGCTGCTCCGTGTGGAACGTGTTCTATCAGGTAAAGCACTTTGGTAGGCCTACCCAGTTATTTATGGTATTGAGTTTGAATTTAGCCTTTGGAATGTAATTTCCAACAGTGCATTATAAAGACTGAAAGATGTAAAGCTTGACATGATTTCGTCTTTTACTTAAGAGGATGTTTGTCCTCCTGTGTTGTCTTATTTCCTTATCTTTCTTTCAGGTGTAACATCTACCAATGGTACATGACAGAGACCTCCTCCACCTCTTTGCTGTCTTACGAGTCAATCCTTCTGATCAGGTCCTTTCCTAAATAGTGGTAAGTTTTACAGTTCAGTGTACGTTAATTTAGCAACTTAATGCTTTACCGCTGTTGAATAAACCCTATATTGCTAGTCATTTTATTAAAACTACGATTTGTAAACTTTTTGATTCCAATTACAATAATCTTTTTGTTATAATTGTAAAACATATCTTAACATCCATCAGCAATCAATACAACAAATCATCCAACACTAAATAGAAGAAATCAGGACCTATTTCTTTTGATACAGCAGCATGTTTTGGGACTGCTCATTGATGTCATCAAGAGCCATTGAGTCTACCTTTTGTAGTCGGCCTCTCAGAATGTTTATCATTTCTTTGTCTCTTAACATTCCTATAATCATTAGTTTTTTTATTGTTGACATTGTTTTGTTCTTTATTTTTGTTGTGAGAATCACTTTGCAATTATTGTGTAAGTGCTATATAAATAGTTATACTAATATTATTGTTGTTACCATCATTACTATTATTAATAATGTCTTCTTTGTTTTCTTTATTTATCGCTGCAGAAAGGATCATGCCAGCCCACATCAAACACCTGATCAAGAGCTTGTGAACCTCACTGCTGCGGACACCTGTGTGATATTCGACTCTGACTGGAACCCTCAAAATGACCTGCAGGTACGATATATATATCTGCTCTGTCTGTCCTAAAGATAGTTCAATAGGGCTACAACAACAACAGTCTTTCCGTTTATTCCCTCGGTTCTTTAAGTGTATATTTTCCCATTTAATGCTTAGAAACGTTGAACAGCAGCTGCACATGATGCTCTTTTGACCCCTCTTTTAATTTTTTATTTCAGGCTCAAGCTCGGTGTCATCGTTTTGGCCAGTCTAAGGCGGTGAAGGTGTACCGTCTGATCACTAGAAACTATGATAGGGAAATGCTGGATAAAGCTAGTCTTAAGCTCGGGCTGGACCGTGCCGTCCTGCAGAGCATGAGTGGGAACAAAAAAGGCAACAACAACGTAATGAGAAAAATAAAATCTGTCATATTTCTAGATGCCAAGTCATTTTTGGGTCAGTCGCTGTACGCTTAGTTTATTTTCGAAAATAGTTTTCTAAATCCACTTGTGTAAATGTCTCTCTCTGTCGCCTTTAGCCGGTCCAGCAGTTCTCCAAGAAGGAGATCAAGGACCTGCTGAGGAAAGGAGCCTACGCCGCCATCATGGACGAGAACGACGAAGGCAATCGCTTCTGCTAGGAGGACATCGACCAGATCCTGCAGCGAAGAGCCACCATCATCACCATCACCATCATCACCAACACCAGGTATGTTCTTAGCAGCACTAGCCACTTGCTCTTTGTGAGATACCAAGTACTTGGTTATTTGAAATGTGATATTGATGATGTAATAATTAAAACTAGGGATGGGTACCGGGTCCCCGTATTAACGGGCCCCGGGGCTGAATTATTAAAGACCGTGGTACCGTTAAGGTCCAACGTTATCGATCTTTTTATCGGTAAAAGAGACATTTCAAAAATAGATGTCATATGTATTATATCTACATAAACATGATATCGCCAACTCCGTTTCTAATATGCAATAAGACTACAAAGTGCGTCTATGATTTATTTTCGATCTTTCCAATCCAGACGAGAGATCTCTCTCCCCGGTCGGCGTGCGAGGGGGTGGGGCAGTTTACACACAGAACCTGCTACATGCATGCAACACACACACGTGCGCACACAAACACATGGCGGAGAGAACTAAGCGCCCCGAGTGTAGTTATATGTTACCCGTCTTGAGCATGGATGTATAATAAGAACTGGATACAGCGTCGTAGGAAGGGTCTCGTTCTTCCCTATGAGAGCTGCTCATTGGCGCATGAAGTCAAAATGGCCCAACTTTTGAGAGAGCGAAACGTCACAGATTACCCGTCATGCCTAGCTAATATTTTTTGTAATATTATTGTATTAACCTCTTAAGCCCTGAGCCTGTTTTTTAGGTTTCAGGCTCGAAAATGCCACTAACACAGCAAAGACTATATCTTCACTTCTAAAATGGTTAAATTAATAATCTTTTCTCTCAAAGCAAGGTTACATCTGTGAGTTGGATGTAGAAGTGTCAGAATCAAG